TTGATAGATTTTCAATTCTAAGCATCCAAAGGTAAGATTCTTGCACCAAGAAGTGAGATTAAATTTTAAAGTTTTGAATTCTTATGGTTGTATATGCTTAGGGTTTGAGAAGGAGGGAATTCTACCAAAGAGAGAGTATAGTGTTGGAGTTGCTCAAATTCAAGGTAAGTAAACCTAATTTAAACCTTAATTTGAGCAAGACTTTGTTGAATGAATTTTTTTGCATGTTTTTATGTGATGGTATGAGAGAATTATGGGCTGTTTTTTATGTTTATTGATGTATAAATTCTAGCCATGAGAAGTAGTGTATGGTTATGTGATGATTTGGTGAAGTTGTGAAAGATTTTGTGTTGAGATTTTTGGAGTGTAGAGAAGTGATAAATTAAGCCAGGTTTGATACTCAATTTAGTGAGTTTTTGGCTCACAATTTGGTTGAATTAGAGAGTTGTGGAAGTGTAGCCAACATAGTAGTAGCATGTGCATATGAATTGTTTGATGAAAATCCTAAGAGAAAACATATTACCATGGCTGCCCTGTCAAATCCGTGACTTTATGAGTAATTTTTGAGCATTTTAACCATCGAACTGGGCCGAGGTGTAAACATAAAAGTTGTAGCCCTTTCTCTAAGCTGTAAAATGAGACCAAGATCATAGCAATCCCATGTGTGTAGCTCGAGATATCCCTTCTTGAATATGACCTGTGCAGAATGGCTACCTCAAAGTACCTCCAATTTATTAGTTATTTTTAGTCTAATAATGTATGATTGATTTCAAGTATGGGAATGTTGTTGGTAGAGAATACTAGTTCCATAATGATATCTTTATATGCCATAATGCATTTGAGCATTTGTGTTTAGAAAGAATAGCAAAGAATGAGCATATTTCCAAGCACATACACATATATGAGAACATTAAAGAACAAAGAGAAAGAGAGTTTGGATGAATTGTTGAGAATTTCTTTTATGCATGCATATGCTTCTATATGAAGAATTTTTGATGGAATGGATATTGAATGATGGTTAGAATTTATCCATGAGAAGTAGTGTTTGTGTACTTGATGTTTGATGAGAGTTTGGATGAATTATGGAAGAATTGGAGTAGAATTTATGAAGTGTAAATCCTAGCCAGGTTTGACATTAGTGTTTGTGTACTTGATGTTTGATGAGAGTTTGGATGAATTATGGAAGAATTGGAGTAGAATTTATGGAGTGTGAATCCTGGACAGGTTTGACGTTAATCTTGATGTGTTTTATTCCAAATTTTGGTGGCTTAGAAGAAAGGTAGAAATGTAGCCAAATTAGAGTTGATGTGTGCATATAAATTGTTTGATGAAGTGTCAAAGAGAAGTGCATACATGATTATGATTATTTGATATCTTGAGATGAGTTGGTAGATGGTAGAGAATGACATGTTCACATTCCATATTGCATTATTGCATCCAAACATGTGAATTTAGAAAGAATAATAAGTATGAGCCCATATACATGCATAAATACTCATAAGAGCATTAAAGAGCAATAATGAACATTAAAGTTAAAGAACAAATAGAAAGAAATGAGAAATATTAAAGAAGTTCAAATCTGAAATTTTATCTAAAGAAGTGTAAAAGATAAAAGAAGAGAAGGTTGTTGCGATGGGGAACTCGTGAGTGACATAGCCCTGCATGCACGCCACCTTTAGTGAGCGGCCTCAAAATTCAGAAAGAAGAATTGTACAGTCCGTTAGAAGTGCATGTGGATGAGGACTATACCCAGAATTAGAGAATACACTCACACGGCCAGGGTTCCAAATCCATGCCTCAACCGAGTCTGATCAGCAAGAAAGAAAGAATAAAAAGAAAGAAAGAATAGAAAGAAAGAAAAGAAAAGAAAGAATAGAAAGAAAGAAGAATAGAAAGAAAGAAAAGAAGAATAGAAAGAAAGAAAAGAAAAGAAAGTATAGAAAGAAAGAAAAGAAAGAAAGAATAGAAAGAAAGGAAGAAAGACTAGAAAAGAAAGAAAGAAGTACAGAAAACAGAATAAGAAAAAAATAGAAAAGAAAATGCACATTTTATGCATTTTTGTGTTTGCATCATACCTATGCATGATACCATGCCTATTATCATGAGTAGTGAGAAATTATAAATAGAGAAAGAATAGAGAAAGAACAGAGAAAGAATAGAGAAGAATAGAAAGGTGTGATGTAAGGAAAGAAATTCAGAATTTAAGCAACGGAGAGGGAGGAGTAGCATAGCGGGTTTACTTACTGAGCAATTAGTGCTCACCCCGTTGTTTTCAATGTTTTTGTAGGTAATAGGTGAGATGCGGTCACTTGGAATGTCACGCAGCGGAAGGGTTGGGCAACACTGTCGAGTTGATGTTTTGTAACTTTATTATATTTTATAAAGATTTGCATTTAAAGAAAAATTAGTTATGGGCCCATTATTTTATACTCATCTACATGTATATTTTCTTATATATATTTTGTGAGTTTTACTGTTATTTTCCGAGTATATTAGCTAGAGAGTGAGTATTACACCTTGGCCATTGAGAGCCTAGAAAAGACACGCCTAAGAAATAAGTTTGTTTCAAAACCTATACTTTTATTTGTTTTGTCTTTGTTTTTTTTTTTTTTTTCTTTAAAGCTTGATATTAAACATCTCATATCTATAAAATGATTCAAAAAATTTAGCTTCCTAAGGAGTTAATATCATAAGTATATAATATCATTTGCTAATATCATTTAACTTTTTCATTCATTTGACAAGGAAATGGTCATACCAAGTTTATTTAAACATATTTACTTCAACATCCATAAACCAAAAACCATTTGATGTTATTTTAAAACAAAAATTCAAAACATAGCAAAAGCATTCCTTCATGCGCATTTCATTCCCCAGTAGCCTCTCCCAGCTCCAAGCTTCAATTCTTACCTGCAAAACATTTTTAAGAAAATGTCGTGGGGTGAGCGCTAATCGCTCAGTAAGGGAATATGGCCATTTATAAACTATTAAGGTTCATTAGACAAGCATATTACTTAGGACCTTACCTACCTACAAGACACGACCTTCATTCATTGACATTATCGAGTTCATAAAACATGTCATACACTTTGGACTTTCCTTATTATCTTAAGTCATAACATAATCATACATAATATAACATAGAACATATATGACTTATGCAATATTCATAAACATGGCATGCCTATTTCTTTTGTCTTTGTACTTGATGTTTTCATTAGTCTTTATTATTCGATTGGATTCATTTGAACCATTACCTTGTTCTTGGTCGTCACCTCAAAGGACTCATGGTTTCCACAAAGATTCCATTCCTCTGATCTTGGTTTATACCTCAAGAGACTCATGGAATTCATTCTTTAACATTTCATAAATTTTTCATAAGTCAACTAAATAAGCTATATGCATTACCATTATGAATGCAAACATATGGGATAGCATCTCCCATGCTCAATCATACTATTTATTCATTTAACATGTACCCTTGGCCAATTGCACAATTCATCAATCAATTTAGTAAAACTCCATGACATGAATATTTTCCTATGAAATTCATTAACTTAATTCATTCGATTTCTCATACAACACAAGGAATTTCAACAGTAAGATTATTCAGTGGTTTATTAGAAATTATAAAAAAGATGGGAATTTTTATTAAGGAGATGGATGTCATACAGTTCGTCACTTTTCAAGCAATTGTTTCCTCATCCTCCAATTCGAATTGATTTTTGGCTAAAATATAAAAGTTTTAGGTCTATTTCTCAAATTTTTAATACTTCAAGAATCAACTCAATCAAATGTTTATAACTTTAGTTATGACTGATTCAGCGAAGCATGTACAGTATAAGTCTTAAAAAGCCAAATCCGAATTCTATTCATTTTTAACCATGTCACATTCATTTGCACATTCATAGTATTTTCCATATCATTCTAAGTATAAAAGGCCATAAAAACCTCCCTTTTTACAAAACCAAAAAGTGCCAAAACATCGTCCAACTACAAATCTCTTAATTGGCATAATCATCCTCCATATGCACACATACAGCAACCAACACACCCATTTAAACAATCCACAACCAAAATATAGCGTCACACTCAAATTAACATAAATATATGTAAGTTTCATCAACCCTAGGTGTTATCAATTATATTCATAAGGGAGATTTTTTTTCCTTACCTTAATATTCAAAGCACAAAGACACTCCTCCTTAGCTCCAAAGGTTCACCTTTGCTACCTTACTCACATAACCACTTATGAATTTCTCTCTTAACTAAAAATCACAACAATTTAGGGTTTTAAAACTCATCTTAAACCCTGAAATTGAAGTTCTTTAAGTGTGGATAGTTATCTCCTTTGAAATTCAACTTCAAATCCTATGAAAATTTTGAGAGAGAGAGTTGAATTAAAGCCTTTAATAGAGGAAAATAAGACTTGAAGAAGAGAGTTTGGTGTTCTAAGAGTGTTGGCCGACTTAACCAAGAAAAAATCTTATAAATATTTCATTTTTTTTTTAATTCCCAAATGGGATTAGCCATCAAAAGTTAGATATAAGGGTCATTTGGTATAAATTTTGCATATAAGGGCATTTTGGTCATTTCCACTACAAGATAATTATTACACTCCTTTAATGCCATTTGACTTCTCTTTTCTACTTGGTGACCAAGTAAATCCATAAGATAATTAACTAATTTACCCATAATACACTTTTATGTATACTTGATTCCTATAAATTATTGTGAAAAGACCATTATACCCTTTGGGAACCGTTTATGCCGTTTAACCCTACTAACCTCCTTCATGACGCTTTAACCATATTTCTTATCAGTATCATCAATTCCTAACACTTTACAACATTCACGTCTCATAATGCATACAAAATGACAATTTTACCTTTTATTGATAAAAAGCCTTTTAAGGGTAGAATTACATACCTTATAGCATCGGAATGCTAACATGCGGTTTTACAATCCTCGCCTCCTTATAAGAATTTCATCCTCAAAATTTAATTGAAGAGATCTGGATACTTTTCTTTCATGTTTTGCTTGACCTCCCATGTTGCTTCTTCAACATTATGATTTCTCCACAATACTTTAACAAGCGGTACATTCTTGTTTCGGAGTTCTTTAATTTTTCTATCCAGAATCTGAACTGGACATTCTTCATAAATTAGGTCATCTTTTAGCTCCACTTCTTCTGTTTGAAGTATGTGAGAAGGATCATGAATATACTTTCGCAACAAAGAAACATGGAACACATTATGTATCCGGTCTATACTGACTAGTAATGCAAGTTTATACGCCATCTTGCCAACTTTCTCTAACACTTCAAATTGACCGATGTATCTAGGAGCAAGCTTTCCTTTCCTTCCAAATCTCATCACTTTCTTATAAGGAGTGATTTTTACAAATACCTTAACTCCCGCTTGAAATTCTATATTCTTCCTCTTTGGATCTGCATAACTCTTCTGTCTATCTTGTGCTTGTTTCATTCTCTCTCAGATTAGCTTTACATCTTCTGTCATTTTTTGTATCATTTCTAGATTGAGAGCTTGAGCTGATGCATCTTTTTCTCCCAATTCATCCCAATGCAACGGTGACCTACATTTCCTTCCATACAAGGCTTCATATGGTGCCATTTTAATGGTTGCTTGATAACTATTATTATAAGCGAATTCAACTAGAGGGAGAATGTCGTACCAATTCAACTTGTGATCCATACAGCAAGCCTGTAACATATCCTCCAATATTTGATTCATTCTTTCTGTCTGTCCATCCGTCTGAGGATGATAGGCTATACTGAAATTAAGCCCAGTACCCAATGCCTTCTACATACTACTCTAGAATACTGACATAAATTTCACATCCCTGTTTGAGACAATACTACTAGGTACTCCATGTAATCTTACTATTTCTTTGACATAAAATCGGCCCAACTGATCAGAGGAGATCTTGTCTGTAATTGGAATGAAATGAGCAGATTTAGTCAACCTATCTATAATCACCCAAATGGCATTATAACCCCTTTGCACTCTAGGAAGACCTAAAATGAAATCCATAGAAATATCTTCCCATTTCCATGGAGGAATACTAAGGGGCTGCAATAGTCCTGAAGGGCGTTGATGTTCTACTTTAACTTGCTGGCACACCAAGCATCTGGTAACATACTCAGTTACACCTTTCTTTAACCCTAGCCACCAATAGCTCTTCCTCAAATCCTAATACATCTTTACACTCCCTGGATGAGCAGTGTAAAGTGTACTATGTGTTTCCTCTAAAATCTGTTAGAGTGTGTGCCCTAGAGCCAATCAATTATTGTAGAATTGACTTTTTGTAATAATGTTCATTGATCAATAAAAGGCATTTTATTCTATATCGCATAAATCATCATTGTATGTATTGATATATGTCCTTAGAATGGTAGAACCATGATGAGGGTATCAAGTGTTTCAAATCTTGATAGTGAGAACCTTATGAGCACATAAGGTGGCCATTCTAGAAATGTCCATAGCCCCAGTATTGTTTTGAAGTAAGGGCACAGACAATACGGTAAGGCTGTCAAAAGGCAGTGATTGATCTCACTTGTCAAGGTTGTTTGGTGACAACTGATGCGTGTTTCCTACAACATGCAATATGTAGTAAGTATACTAATCGCACAAGTAATAAAATGATGAGTAAAGTATCGTTCCCACGAGGATTGTTAGCTAAGCACTAAGTCTACTAATGTTATCAAGTTGAAGCAAACGACTTCTTTGGATTGATGGGAGCTAATTGCAATTAAACTTAACAATAAATTTTAAACTAAAATTTAACTAAGAGGGCAATATTAAAACACGGAAAATCAATTCAANACTTTAACGGGCCCTCAACTGAATTATGCCACTACTGAGAAAGAATTTTTAGCAGTAGTGTTTTCTATTGATAAGTTTCGTTCTTATTTGTTAGTTACCAAGGTTATCGTGTATACGTACCATGCTGCATTGAAGTACCTCCTAGCAAAACGGGACTCCAAGCCATGATTATTGCGATGGGTATTGCTCCTACATGAATTCGACTTGGAGATCAATGACAAGACAGGAACAGAAAATCAAGTAGCTGACCATTTATCCCGATTGGAATCCAATGAAGAAGATCGAGAGGAAGAAAAGCCAATCAACGAATATTTCCCTGATGAGCAATTGTTTGCTATTTAGGAAGGACCATGGTTTGCGGACATTGCTAACTACTTGGCAAGAAAGGTTATACCCCCTGGAATGAACTCCCAGAGACGAAAGAAATTTTTTACAAATTTAAAGTACTACTTCTGGTAGGATCCATTTTTGTACAAGCATTGCGCTGATCAGATGATAAGACGATGTGTGCCAGAGGAAGAGGTGACGAATATAATTTGTCACTGTCATTCTATGGAAGTTGGTGGTCATTTCGGTTCGACAAAGACCGCTGCAAAAGTTCTTCAATCAGGATTTTTTTGGCCTACTCTTTTTAAAGATGCTTTTCAATTTGTGATGAGTTGTGATGAGTGTCAACGGGTTGGGAATATTTCTAGGAGAAATGCTATGCCTTTAAATATTATCCTAGAAGTAGAATTGTTTGATGTTTTGGGGATAGATTTTATGGGACCTTTTCCTTCTTCGTTTTCTAACCGTTTCATTTTGGTTGCAGTAGATTATGTGTCAAAGTGGGTGGAAGCTGCAGCGTTGCCAACAAACAATGCTCGTGTCGTTATCAAGTTCGTAAAGAAGAATATCTTTTCAAGGTTTGGCACGCCAAGAGCCATTATCAGTGATGGTGGTTCTCACTTTTGCAATCGCCTATTCACAGCACTGTTAAGCAAGTATGGAGTTACACATCGAGTTGCAACCCCATATCATCCGCAAACCAGTGGCCAAGTCGAAGTTTCGAATAGAGAGCTGAAACGAATCCTGGAGAAGACAGTGAACACATCCCGAAAGGATTGGGCAACTAAGCTTGATGATGCACTATGGGCATATAGGACGGCATTCAAAACACCAATAGGAATGTCGCCCTATAGGATGGTTTACGGAAAAGCTTGTCACTTGCCAGTGGAGTTAGAGCACAGGTCGTATTGGGCAGTAAAATTTCTGAATTTTGATCTACAAGCTGCGGGAGCAAAACGTTTACTGAAACTTAATGAGATGGAAGAGTTTCGCAATGATGCCTACGAGAATGCCCGGATTTACAAAGAAAAGACTAAGCAGTGGCATGACAAACACATTGTGAACAAGGAATTCAAGGAGGGCGACAAAGTGCTATTGTTCAACTCGAGGCTGCGACTTTTTCCAGGAAAATTGCGCTCACGATGGTCTGGCCCATTCATCATTCATCGAGTGTTTCCGCATGGGGCAATAGAGCTGCACCACCCGACGAAAGGCACATTCAAAGTCAACGGGCAAAGATTGAAACCTTATATTGAGAATGGCAATGCAGACGAGAGGGTTTCAATTCTTCTTCAGAATCCTAATTGACGACAGAAAAGGAGTCGAGCTTAAAACTTTAAACAAGCGCTTTTTGGGAGGCAACCCAAATTTTCGATTCCGTTTGAGTTTTATTTTATGTTATTTTATTTTAATTTTTTTTAGTTATAATTTTTTTATTTTTTTTGTGTTATCATGTTGCATTTTTAGTTTGTTAATTCAGGATTTCGGATTGATTTTCAGGTGACTGACAAAACGCACTCAAGGATCAGGCAGAAGACTGATCACGCTCGCCGCAGCGGTAACATATATCGTTGCAGCGAGCGTGATTACGCTCACGATAGACTACATTTGGATAAAATCACGCTCGCCGCGGCAACAAGTTTAATCGCTACAGCGAGCGTTACTTAAAGCAACGCAGCGACGATAACAACGATCGCTGCGGTGACGCATACGATCGCCGCAGCGATCGCACCAGGAAATAGAATACTGCGTTTAAATCAGCAGTTTTCCTCTTTTGCTTTCATCATTTTTCATTACGAGCTTATCTCCCTCACACTTGCTCTCCACCAATTTTTGTTCAAATCATTCCTTTTCCTTACTCCATTGATCACTAACACATTCCTCCTTCCATCCCATTCCGCAAATTAAATAAACAAAAGGAGAAATTGAGAAAATTCAAGGTTAGGGTTTTCAAAAGAGATTTGGGGATTTTCGAAATTTCATCTAATCCATTTCAATTCAAGGCGTTTTTGGACATAACAAGTTTCAAGTAAGTGTTTCTCAACCATTTTGCATTGAAATTTTGAGTGTGGAAGGGTGGAATCCATTGATTTGAGTTGTGTGGAAGTGTGGATGGTTGTGAATATTGCTAGAGATTTGGTGATTTTCGTGGGAGTGTTTATCTCTGTGATTGTGTTTGATTGAAGAAGGGCAGTTGCTATTTGTGGGAGTGAGTTGATTTTTGTTGGTTTTTGTGGGAGTGAGTTGATTTCGTTGGGCAGTGTTAGTAGTTCGACTGAATATTTGGGGTGAGTTCGACATAGTGATAAATGACACCCAAAAGAAAGCTAAAAATTGATAGGAGAGAAAAATGTAAAGGGCAGGCTTCCAGTGATTCCCGGTTTGTTAGCCAGGCTGCCCAGGAAAGGTATGAAAATTTTGCAAAACAACCGGGGCGATTTATTGAAGAACGAGGGCTGGTGTTTACAGAAGCTTTGGAGGGAATAACTGATGTGATTCAAGCTCTGGGTTGGGGGAAATTCTGCAAAGAGCCTCCGACGCCTGCTGTTTCCTCTGTGGTAAAAGAGTTTTATGCCAATGCTCCGGAGAGCACTGACGGGAGAACCTTAGTAAGAGGCAAAGAGATCGTGTTTAATGCCGCTGCAATCAATGAATTTTATGAGCTGCCGCAAGTTGGGTTCAATGACGATGCCTATGCCGTATTCAAGCAGCAAGTGGATTTTGATGCAGTAATTAACACTCTGACTGAGGGGAGAGCTACATGGTTTATTGCAGCTGGGGAACACATCCGCTTTGAAAGTAAGTTCTTGGACTTAATTTCCCGCATGTGGTTATATTTTGTATCTTCCCGATTAATGCCATCCAAGCACATGAGTACTGTGAGTAAAGCTAGGGCAATCTTAATGTATGCTATCCGCCAGAAAATGAGGATGAGTGTGGGTGAAATTATCTTTCAAGAGATTACTCATTCGGCAAAGCGTTCCAAGATGGGCTTTTATTTTTCCCACCTGATTATTGCATTGTGTACGCAAGCGGAAGTGCCATTGAATGCTGAAGAAGTTTTTATTCTGCAAGGAGTGAGCCTAACTGTGCAGTTTCTACCAAATTTAACCAGTGGGGGCAGAGTAGAGGTACCCAGGACCAAATCATCTTTATCGTCAAAGCTTTCCCAAAAAGATCAATTGCTGAAGCTGCATGAAGACATCGAAAAAGTGAAACAGCAACAGAATCGTCAAGAGGCCTGGATGACATGGATGAGTGGGCAAATGAGGGTAAAACATGAGATGCAGGGATTGCAACTTGCACATGCTGGG